AAGCAATGAAGGGTCAAAGTTCATCAACAGAAGGGTCAAAGTGCAACCGTCCAAGGTTCTGGTGACCAGAAGGTCACAGCTGGCCACGTGGGGTCAGATTTCAGGGGTTGCAGGGCTCAGTTGGCCGCCCTGGGTCACAGTTCAGGGGTCATGGGGCTCAGCCAGCTGCCCCGGGTCACAGTTCAGGGGTCGTGGGGCTCAGCTGGCCTCCTTGGGGCTCTGGGGCTCGAGGATCTGGACGTGGGTGAAGGGGAAGTGCCCGCTGCGCCCGTTCAGCTGCCCCTCCCACTGCCCGTTGATGTTCATCTTCGTCACCGTGATGATGTCACCCACCTGGGGGTCAGAGGGCAAAGGTCACAGTCAGATTTCTCCCTGGAGCTGCCCTAGTCACCCCTACTGCCCCTGTCTCCGGACACCTGGGTCCCCAGAATCAAGGACTAATTTCCCCCCTCCCCTCCATGCTCCCAGACACCTGGGTCCCTTAGGTTGCAGGATCTATTCCCCCTCCTTTGCCTTGATCCCCCCAAATCAGGGACTAATTCTGCCCGCCCTCCAGCTGGATGCCGGGGTCCCTGGGATCCATTCCCCCAGAATGCCTGGATCCCTCAGGATCTTGAGGACTGATTCCCTCATATACTTGGGTCCCCTGGAATCCAGGTCCTGTTACCCCTGGATTCCTGGGTCCTCCGCACACTCACCTCGAAAGCCAGTGCCGTCTTGTCGTAGGCATTGGGCACCCGCCGCTGTACAGCCCTGGCCACCACAGGGCCATTGCGGGGGGTGGGCAGGGGCGCCGGGGGGCCACCTACACTGGGGTGGGCATAGGGCCCCAGCAGGACGCCGGCCTGGGGGCGCCAGGGCTGGACATAGGGCACCGGGATCATGCCCACCCGCCCGTCGACCCGCTGGGCCGTCCACCACTGCTCCTCCGGCTTGCCCAGCACCCGGAGTGGATCCCCCTTGCGGAAGGGCAGGTCCTCCTGGTCATTGCCCCCGAAGTCGTAGAGAGCCTGCACCCACTCGCAGGGCAGGGTGGGGCCAGCAGGTGGGGCCACGGGGTCCCCTCCCCCCTCGGCGGGGGGCAGCGGGGCTGGGCCAGGCACCGCGGGGCCCCGGCAAACGGGCACCACCAGCGTGGTGGTGTCCAGATAATGCACGCGGTAGAAATCCAGCAGTGCTGGGAGTCCCTCGAACTCCTGATCCCCGATCTTCAGCCGGCCCGGCAGGCTGTTAATGATGTAGTGAGACACCTGGGGGGATGGGGGCCAGGGAGAGATGGGGGTGGAGACAGGGACAGACAGACAGACGAGGTTACACATTGGACATTCACCAGCCCCTCCCCCATCTCCTCCCCCCGGACTCCTGGGTTCTCCCTGAATCTAGGGTGATTTCCTCCCCCAAAACCCACGGGCTCCCCTTGGTAATGCCCCTCCTGCCCCCCACGTTGTCCAGTCCTCTCCTGCCATCCCCAGATGCCTCCCCCACTCCCCCTCCCTCACCAGCCCCCCGGGGTCGCCCTCACCTTGGCGTTCTCGCTGACCGAGAGGACGTAGTCTCCGGGGCAGGTGGAGCTGTCCCTCACCAGGAAGGTGCCGGGTCGGTGACCCTGGAGACAGGCCACGGCCTGCTGGCGGCTCAGCGACCCCATGTACCACTCGTTGGAGTCCCCGAAAGACGACATGGCTCTGGGGGGCGTAGCGGGGTCTCCCCCCTCAGGGGCACCCCCCAATTACAATGTAACCCCCTCAAATCCACAGGTAAGCCCTCATATTTAAGGGGAACCCCCCAGTCCCCCAAATCTCCTGGGCATATAGCCCCCAAATTAACAGAGCCCCCTGAATTCCCCTGCAAGGAAACAGCCTCTCCAAACTACCATGCACCCCGTCTTCTCCCTCCCAGACCTTCTCACTTCGTTGGCAAGCAGAACCCCTCAAACTATTCCTGTGCCCCCTAGAACCCTTCCCCCAAATGCAGCCACCAGAGGAGCACCCCTAAATTATGCCCCGTCCCAATACGGGTCCCCCACATAATGCCAACCCTGGTGCATCCCCAAATTCTGCCCCAGGAACCCCCATCCTCCAATGTACTGCTCAATTCCTTGCACCCCTAAGACCCCTCCCCAGCACCCCTTCCTTCCCTTCCCCTGCACCCCCCCAAATTTCTGAGTATCTTCTAAAGCCCTCCCCAAGGCCCCGCTGCCCCCGTCTCGTGCACCCCCGAATCCCTCCCCAAATGCAGCCCTCCCGTCCCGTGCACCCCCAAATCGCTCCCCAAATACAGCCCCCCCGTCCTGTGCACCCCCGAATCCCTCCCCAAATGCAGCCCCCCCGTCCCGTGCACCCCCAAATCGCTCCCCCCGTCCCGTGCACCCCCGAATCGTGGCCCTCCGCCGGGGCTTGGCCCCGCTGGCACCGGCTGCCGCCGCCCCTCCCCCAAAGCCGCCGCCTCCTGCCCCAGCCCGGTCACCGCGGCAACATGGCGAGGGGAAGTGACGCGCCCGCCCCGGGCGGCCGCCATGGCGGGGGCTGGCAGGAGGGGCTGGCGGCCATGTTGGGGGTGGGCAGGACGCCTGGGTTCTCTCCCTGGCGTGGGGAAGGAGGAGGGGGTCTGCCCCGTTCCCACCGGAGCCGGGCCTGGCTCCTGGAGCCATCACCAGTGCGGATGGGCGGGCCCGGGGCTCGAACCCTCAACAGCTCGGCGGCGGGCCCAGCCCCGGGCTGCCGGCCACAGCCTCCCCCGAGCCAGGCGGGCACCCCTGCCGCGCCGAGCCCGCCCCAAACAGCACGTGGCCCGGCCGGCGTGGGGCCGCGCCCCGCTTCAGCTTTAAGCCTTTTCTCAAACTAAACTTTCAGTTGCAGGAAATTAGGGGGGGTGTCGGACAATTCTTTAGTGACTCTCGCGTCTGAGATTCAAGAAGTTACAGCTTCAGAACCGTGCCAAGGAAACTTGGCCCCCTCACCTGTCAGGCTGTACACAATCAACAGCCTTAAAGCGGATGCTGGTGTGTTTTCACGCACCTTTTATTAATGGAAAGGGGGGGGGGTGTGTGTGTGATCAGTGTTTACCCATCAAAATCTAATCCTCCCACGCCTCACTGTAAAATGACAACATGCGACATAAAGTCTAAAGCTATACACACACCTAGAGAAATGGATAAGAAAGAAATAACCCAATTCATACATAATAAAAATAATACAGATATTAAAATATGTGACTATAAAGTTTATACATAAACTACATAGCACAGTACCACAAAAACACTACATATATAAATATAGCAATTTAAAATACTTAGATGGGATATATAAAATATAAACACAATACATTCATAAATAGAAACACTGGTGATAATTACATACAAGCAATACATACAGCACATACAAAATATATTAGAACATAAATCTATACATGTATCTCCACAGATTTGACTTGAGTTTGGATTCTTCTATTTCTGCATTTTGAACTTAAAACTACTTTCCCCCTAATCTTCAGAGCTCAGCTGCTCACTACGTTCTGAGATTCGGCCCCTTCCTTGGAACTTACACAGAAGAACTCACAGTCATGCAAACAGATAAATTAGGAACGAGATCATGTATGTCTGATAAAAAGAAACTGGTAACAGCAAAAAATAATCACTCTTTGGTATAAAGCAAAAAAGACTTGATTCAAATGAACCCCCAGCTAATAAAACTAGATGCATAATAGAGCAATAAAATAAACTTCTGATGGAGCTAAATAAAATGGGCACCTCCTAAGTTATAACAAAGCAAAAGGAAATTGGCAATGACACAAATCCTCAGTACTCATCAATAATGAATTGGCTACAGACTGAATGGAGTAATACACTCCAATATCAATTGGTAATGAAATTAAAATATCAAAATAAAGCAGATTCAGAATAAACCAACTGTTATAAACGCAAAGGGAATGAAATAATAAACCCCAAACCACTACGAATAAAATAAAGACACAATAACGCAGTGATAACAGTCACACTAGGAATAAACCAATGACACATACCATGCAGCTTTCACAAACAAGGAAATCTTGAGCAGCAGCAGAGAGGTGATCTTTCCCTTGGTCTGTGGCCCTGGTGCGGCCGCTGCTGGAATCCTGTGTCCAGTCCTGGTGTCCACAATTCAAGAAGGATGTTGATCGATTGGAGCGGGCTCAGAAGAGCCATGAGAATGATTGAGAGATTGGACAACCTGCCTTACAGTATAGGGTCGAGGAACTCCATCTATTTAGCTTAACACAGAGAAGGTGAAGGGGTGACTTGATCCCAGGCTATAAGTACCTACATGGGGAACAAATATTTAATAACAGGTTCTTCAATCCAGCAGAGAAAGGCTGGCAGCTCAAGTTAGACAAATTCAGATTGGAATGAATTTGTAACAGTGAGAGGACTTAACCACTGGAACAATTCCCCAAGGGTTGCGGAGGATTCTCCATCCCTGACAATTTTTTAAATCAAGATGGGGTGTTCTTCTAAAAGATCTGCTCTTAATGGAGGTCAGCAGTAGGGTTCAGAGTTAACAAGATATGAGCTACTGTTTCAGGACATTTCTGCCCTGGAGTGCAGTGGGGACTCATCCCCATCACCTGCTATCATTTTCTCCCACAAATGGGCCGCCTCAGCCTGGAGCTGTACAATGTCATCAGTAAAGTTCAGAGTTAACAGCAGTGTGAGCTTTCATTTCAACTACCTTATCTATACTGGGAATGCTGTCCCTTGCTTATCAGCTGAGCACTTCAGGCTTAGACACCCCAAAAGAGGGATAATGCAGTTGCGGAGCTGGTGGGCAGGGACTCCCAATTGAGGGGTTCCAGGGCTAGTTGATGGGGAGCAGTTACTGGATCAAGCATAGCCGTGATGGCTAAGGTCTCCCTGATTTGGCCCAAATGCAGCAGACAGTCCGGAAAATCTAATGGCCAGAATGTTTTCATGGGTGCCTCACTTCTGACCCACCGACACCGAAAAGTAGACAGACAAGGCGAGGTATCTCAAAGCAGCTTTATTATAAAAATGGGAGTTACAAATATTGGGGTTATGTAGCAAAGTCAGGAAGGGATCACCCCATTTGGGGAGCAGGGGATCCCCATAATCCAGCATTAGTGAGTACATGCCAGTCTGAGAGTGTCTCATGGGGGAGACCCCCCAATTTTCCTGGCAGGGCTCCCCTCAGAGCAGTTTGACCTCAAAGCAGATGCAATTGATGCTCTGACAATCGGGGGGCTGGTAGGCACAGGCACAGTCGCAGAGGGGGCAGCAGCGAGGGAAAGGGGGGCAAGGTGCCGAGCTCCCAGCCCTGCAGAGAGAGAGAGAGAAAAATATGGGGCTGTTAACCTGCAGGACTACTCGCTACACGATATTAAACAGTGGCTGTTATGTGGCAGGTAGTCCCACAGGCTGATGTTAAGCAGTGGCTGGTAGCCCACAGGACTCCCCACCACAAGATATTCAATGTGGGTGTTAATCCGCAGGACTATGCTCCCAGGTTATTTACTAGGGGGTTGTAAATCCTGACTACCTGCCCCAGGATATGTTACGGGGGCAGTACCCCAAAGGGTTTGGGGGTCACTCACCTGGTGTCGGGGACAGCAGGTGTCCAGGCAGCGGGGGAGGGAGGGAGGGGCACAGTCACAAGCCTCGACGCAGGCCAGGCAGCAGTGGCAGGGCCCCCCCAGCAGCCCCTTCTCACACCAGGAACAGTCAGCGCAGAGTCCACGGGCCTGGGGTGGAAGGGAGGGTGAGAGATGGAAGGGCCAACTCACCCCCTCCCGACAGCTGACCTGCCCAGCCCTGACCCCGTAGGGCCACCCCACCTGTGACCCCCTGACTATCGCCCCCGCCTTCCCCTCCAGCATGTCCCTCCCCACTGCCCCCCAGTATAGACCCCTGCCCCCAGTCTGTCCCCCCTTACCAGCAGGCATTGGCGCAGTGCGAGGAGAAGGAGGAGGAGGAGCAGGTAGGCGGCCACAGTGATGAAGACAATGGCTGGGAGGGGCAGAAGGAGGGAGCTGGGGGGGCCCGGCGTGGGGGTCTACAACAGGGAGAAACAGGAGAGGGGGAGCAGGTCAGAGAGCCTGGGGGAGACACAGGGAGGGGGGAGGCCTCGGGGGAGGGGAGACTTACAGCCATTCCTGGATGGGGGGGGATCCTCAGAGTTGGGGTCTCTGCTTGCCCCTAGGGGGCCGCATGGATGCCAGATCCCGCATCTGAGACAGACAGACGGACAGATCAGAGCCACCCCAGCAAGGACTCGGCCCTCTAAGCTGCCCCACGGAACCTCACCCCTATCCCCGAACCTACTGCCCCCACCGATCCACTCTAGTCCCAAACCTGGGCCGGGAACGGCCCCAGCGCAGGTCCCAGAGCCGCCGGTTGCTGCCCGCAGCCACACGGTTCACTCTGAAACCTACTGACCACAGTGCAACCCAGAGCCGCCCTCCGGAGTGGGGGCCGTGATGGAGGCCGGGCCTCGCACCCTCATTAACATGCAGACGCGTAGGGGCACGTCACCCGCTTAATTGATATTAACGACCCCGGGGCCCAGCCCAGGCTCGGTAGGCAGCGGCTCCATCCCGCTCATTAATAGTAACGCTCGTGCATATTAATTAGACTGCGTCCGCCCCACCCCCAATTGACATTCATACAATATGCAAATTATTTAAAGGGCCCGCCCCATATGATTGAAATCTCCTACATATTGATTAGGCCACGATCGCCCTCGTTAATATTCACATCTCATGAATATTGATTAGCACGACCCGCAACGACCCCAGTTCATGAATATTCATGACCCCCCAACACGCCGCTCACCCGCTCGCCGTCGCAGCGCCGACATCCCGCGATACCACGCCCTGCTCTCGGGCGTCCCTCTGTTGCCATAAGCAACGGCGCAGGCGGCCTGGCCCCGCCCCGCCGGGGCCACACGAGGCCCTAAAGAGCTCTGAGCCAGGGGCTTCCGGAAGTGACGAGAGGAGGAGCCGCCATTGCACCGGAAGTAAGCCCTGCACATCCGGAAAGAAACGCACTGCAGGGGAGGGGGAGGGCAGCGCTCCCGGAAATGACCGCTCCGACCGGAAATGGCCTCAGCCCGCCAGAAGCGAGCACTTGGGAAGGCCCCAGCCATTGAAAGGCCCGCAGAGGCCCGCCACCCCCTTGGACCTAGACACGACATCTCGCTGGCCGGCTGGCGGGGCCCAGAGCGGCCACAGGGGCGTGCCAAGCACGCCTACGTCATGACCGGCCCGTACCATGCGGCCAGTCGGAGCAAAGGGCGCAGGCCGACCGCGCTAACATCTCCTTTGCTCTGATTGGCCAGGGGCTCCCAGCGGCGGCACGAGGGCCCAATACGTAGTCCTTTTTCGCCAATTGGCTGACACTGCCCAGCCAATCAGAACACAGGGATAGCGCATGTGGGGGGCGGGGTATATTCTCTCTGGAACGAGCTTGTAGCCAATCAGCACTCAGGAGTAAAGGTCTGGCCCAAAACATGCAGCGCTGTGATTGGCCCCCAGCCACCCAAAGCCCAGGCAGGTGGGGTGCAAGGGGGAATCAAACGTTGCCTGCGCTCGGATTGGCAGTAGGGCCAACCAATCACAGTGCAGACGTCTTTGTCTAATTAATACTGTGTGTTCCCACAGTGAGCAGCCGGTGCAGCGAGCTGCAGCTCAGGCGAGCTCCTGCTCAAAGGAATGTGTTAGTCGCTAAGGTGCCACAAGTCCTCCTGTTCTTTTTGCGGATACAGGCTGAGCCGGCTGCTCCTCTGAAATCTGTCTACTTAGAAGACCCGCTCTCTATCACTGGCCAGGCCTGTCCAGACTCTCTCAACACGTGGCCCCGCCCCTCAAGGCCAGACTCGCCCCCCAGCGCATAGCCCCGCCCCCAGGGCCAGGCTCCGCCCCCAAGGCCAGAGTCGCCCCCAGCGCATGGCCCCTCCCCCAGGGCCAGGCCCCACCCCCAAGGCCAGGCCCCCCCATCACGTGGCCCCGCCCCCAAGGCCAGGGTCGCCCCCCGTTACTTATATCATTGTAAATGAGAAAATGTCAGAGATGTCTCATCTTGCTTCTAGTGCTCTTCGCCCACAGCCAACCAGAATCTCCCTCTCACCCGGTCTTCCTTCTGCCTTGCCCAGCAACACGGCCGTTCCGCGGATCTCCATTGGCTCGACGCCGCAGCCAATCAGCAGGTCCGGCGCGAACGCGGTTTCACTGGAATGCTCAGAACAAGAACGACCGTTAACTGCTCTACACGCTCGCGCGCGGCCCGGCAGCTGGCGCACGCGCACAGCCTCCCTGCAACCCAGCCCCTTGCGGCCAGAGCCAAAGGCACATGCGCGTTGGAGCTCTGGGCGCGCGCGCTTGCCCGCCCGGCGGAGGAGCGCATGCGCATTCCAGGCGGCGGCGCGGGGCAAGCGTTCCCTCAGACGGGAGCGGGGGTGCGTCACCCGGCCGGGCCTCATTGATTATTCATTAGGGGCGGGCTAATTACATGCACATTTATTCAGCCTCAAGACCCTAAATTGCTGGAAGTGGGCGTGGCCGTCGAGGTGTAATTAGTATGCATTAACTAATGATATGCAAATTAATTCATTAGTGGCTTCGGCTTGTATGGAAATATGCTAATTAGCTAGTGTCCCAAGAATACGAGAGAGACGCATGCAAATTAGGCAGGGCAGAGAGCGAGGTAATGAGATGCAGATTTCATCACCAGTTGACTGGGCAGTGTATGCAAATGGCTGCGCACTGGGGCCCAGCCCGGCCTGGACGGGCAGCTGGGGGCAAAGTCATGAGCCAATGAAGGGGCTGGGTGTTTAGCAGTATGCAAATGTATGCAAATAAGATGGCGGGCAGGGGGTAGAGGAGGGGCAGGGGTAGGTCTAGGGGGAGGGGCAGGGGCAGGGGCAGGGATGAGTGGTTGTGGGTCGAGAAGGAGGGGTAGCTGTGGGGGAGGGGCAGGGACAGTTGTGGGGCAAGGTGGAGGGGTGGCTGGGGGGGCAGGGGATTGTTGTGGGGGGTGGGGCAGGGCAGAGACAGTTGTGGGGTGAGGAGGAGGGGCAGTTGTGGGGGGGAGGGCCAGGGGATAGTCCTGGGGGGTGGGGCAGAGCAGGGACAGTTGTGGGGGAGGAGGAGGGGCATGGGAGGGGCAGCTGTTGGAGGATGGCCAGGGGGTAGTCCTGGGGGAGGAGGAGGGGCATGGGAGGGGTAGTTGTGTGGCGAGTGGCAGAGGTTCCAGCGCTCTGGGGGACCCATGATGTTTGGGGAAATCTCAAGGTGAGGAGGGGGCTGGGAAGGGGGAATCCCCTCAGTGCAGTGCTAGAGTGGCACCAGTGCCCCCTTTCTCACTGCTTTCAAATTCCTTCTCCCAGATGGCCGTGATCTTCCTCTTCAGCTGTTGCTTCTTCCCCAACTTCTTCCTCGCCCTCCGCTGGGCACTGTACCACACCCGGGCCCTGGGCATGGACCAGCTGCATGCCATCTATGTCGCTGCCAAGTAAAGTCACCCGGACTCCTGGGTTCTATCCATGGCTCTAGGAGGAGATGGGGGCTGGGAGCCAGGATTCCTGGGTTCTATCCATGGCTCATGGAGCAGAGGGGGGTCTCCCTCAGCCACAAGATGGTGCTGGTGGTTCAGAAGTCTCCCCTATAATCTGCTGATCATAGACCCCACCCTAGAGGTGACTCCAGGGTCACTGGCTCAGCAGGTACCACCTGCAGCCTCCAGCTTAGCACAAGGGGGGGGGGGGGGACACTGCCATCTGTGGGGAGGATTAGCCCTGAGCTGATTTCCCAGGTGCCCCAGGGAAAGGAAGGGGTTAAATACTCACCCCTTCAAGCTGGGCCTTGACCTTGGTCCCCACCTGCCTGTGCCTGTGGCAGCAGGATTATGGGATTAGACCTAAGTGTCCTGTGTGTGTGTGTGTGTGTGTGTGTGTGTTCCCCTTCTCTGGCCCCCGACACCCCTGCTCCAGCCTGGCTCTGACCAGGGGTCTGGCTCTGACCAGGGGCCTGATCCCCCCCTTTTTAAATCCTGGTTTCCATTCAGTCCATAGAAAGCCAGTTTAAAGCAGTCTGGATGCAGCTGGACCAAGCTGTAGGACTCCCTGATGCAGGGTATTACTTAGTGAAATGACTAGTTTCCTAGCTGGTGTAAATCAGTGTCACTCCATGGGCATTTACACCAGGATTCTGAAAAATCTAGATTGAGAGCCACTGCTATCCCTGCCCTGGGCTCCCCCACCCCACATCTCAGACAATGCCCCCCAATCCTGACCCACAGCCCCTTGCTGTCCAAGCCCTGGGCTCCGTCACCCCCAGCTCTCCTGATGCCCCTCACACCCGCCCCCTGCTGGTTGCACTCCCAGCTCTCTTTCCAGTCTCCATTTTCCATTCCCATCCATCCTTTGCACCCCTTTTCCCATTCCCAGTGCCCCTCTGACTGATCATTGTGACCCCCTTCCCGCCGCCCTCCATCCCACCTCTGGTCCAGGACACTCCGTTGCTGTCCCTTTAAGTGCCTCCACCCAGCGCCTGACAGCTGCTCCCGGCTCCCCTCCCCTCTCCTCCCTCCCCTCTTCCCCCCTTTCTCTCTGTCACAGCCGGCCTCAGAGCCGCTGCCTGGATCCAAGCAGCCGCTGCCTGCCCTCCATCACCCCCACTACCATGTGCAGCCCCCAAGCCTGTCCCCCATCCGGCTACAGCAAGGTCGGATCCCAGCCCCACTGATCTCCCCTCATCCCAACCCCACCCCCAGTCTGTGTGGGTCCCCCCCTTCTGCACCCCATCAGAGATGTTTCACCCCTTGGTGGCTGGGGGCATCGTCTTCCCAGGGCTCTTCCTGCTGGCCAAGAACAGCCTCAAGCGGCTGCCCTGGCTGCAGTGGGATGAGGCCGACGCTGTCATCATCTCAGCCAGGTACCCCAGGATGCAGCGAAGGAGTCAGGGACTGGAGGAGGGATGGAGGGATGGAGGGAAGCAGTCAGGGACTGGAGGAGGGATGCAGGGATGGAGGGAAGCAGTCAGGGACTGGAGGAGGGATCCAGGGATGGAGGGAAGCAGTCAGGCACTGGAGGAGGGATGCAGGGAAGGAGTCAGGGATGAAGGAAGGAGTCAGGGATAGAAGAGTGAAAAAGGGAAAGAGGCACTGGCATGGGAGGGATGAGTGAAAGGAGGCTGAGAGGGATGGAGGGAAGGAGACAGTGGCAGGGAAGGAGGCAGTGGAGGGATGCAGGAATGCAAGGAAGGAGGCAGTGACAGTGGCAGTGGAGGGATGGAGAGAAGGAGGCAGTGGAGGGATGGAGGCAGTGGAAGCTGAGGGATGGAGGGAAGGAGACAGTGGCAGCGGCATTGGAGGGATGGAAGCAGTGGAGGGATGGAGGGAAGGAGGCAGTGGCAGTGGTGGGATGGAAGCAGTGGAGGGATGGAGGGAAGGAAGCACTGGCAGTGGAGGGATGGAGGAAAGGAGGCAGTGGAAGCGGAGGGATGGAAGCAGTGGAGGGAAGGAGGCAGTGGCAGAGGTGGGATGGAAGCGGTGGAGGGATGGAGGGAAGGAGGCAGTGGCAGTGGAGAGATGGAAGCAGTGGAGGGAAGGAGGCAGTGGCAGTGGAGAGATGGAAGCAGTGGATGGAAGGAGGCAGTGCCAGCAGTGGGATGGAAGCAGTGGAAGTGGAAGGATGGAGAGAAGGAGGCAGTGGCAGTGGAGGGATGGACGGAAGGAGGCAGTGGCAGTGGAGGGAAGGAGGCAGTGGCAGTGGAGGGATGGAGGGAAGGAGGCAGTGGAAGCAGTGGAGGGAAGAAGGCAGTGGTAGTGGAGGGATGGACGGAAGGAGGCAGTGGGAGCGGAGGGAAGAAGGTAGTGGTAGTGGAGGGATGGACGGAAGGAGGCAGTGGGAGCGGAGGGAAGAAGGCAGTGGTAGTGGAGGGATGGACGGAGGGAGGCAGTGGGAGCGGAGGGCAGGAGGCAGTGGAAGCGGAGGGAAGGAGGCAGTGGAAGCGGAGGGAAGGAGGGATGGAGGCAGCGGCAGTGGAGGGAAGGAGGCAGTGGAAGCGGAGGGAAGGATGCAGTGGCAGTGGAGGGATGGAGGGAAGAAGGCAGTGGAAGCGGAGGGATGGAGAGATGGAGGCAGTGGGAGCGGAGGGATGGAGGCAGTGGGAGCGGAGGGATGGAGGCAGTGGGAGCGGAGGAATGGAGGGAAGGAGGCAGTGGAAGCGGAGGGAAGGATGCAGTGGCAGTGGAGGGATGGAGGGAAGAAGGCAGTGGAAGCAGAGGGATGGAGAGATGGAGGCAGGGGCAGTGGAGGGAAGGAGGCAGTGGAAGCGGAGGGATGGAGGGAAGGAGGCAGTGGAAGCGGAGAGATGGAGGGAAGGAGGCAGTGGCAATGGAGGGAAGGAGGCAGTGGCAGTGGAGAGATGGAAGCAGTGGAGGGAAGGAGGCAGTGCCAGCAGGGGGATGGAAGCAGTGGCAGTGGAAGGATGGAGGGAAGGAGGCAGTGGAGGGATGGAGGGAAGGAGGCAGTGGAGGGATGGAGGGAAGGAGGCAGTGGGAGCGGAGGGAAGCAGGCAGTGGAAGCGGAGGAATGGAGGGAAGGAGGCAGCGGCAGTGGAGGGATGGAGGCAGCGGCAGTGGAGGGATGGAGGCAGTGGCAGAGGAGGGATGGAGAGAAGAAGGCAGTGGAAGCGGAGGGATGGAGAGATGGAGGCAGGGGCAGTGGAGGGAAGGAGGCAGTGGCAGCAGAGGGATGGAGGGAAGGAGGCAGTGGAAGCAGTGGAGGGAAGGAGGCAGTGGAGGGATGGAGGGAAGGAGGCAGTGGCAGCGGAGGGAAGGAGGCAGCGGCAGTGGAGGGATGGAGGGAAGGAGGCAGTGGAAGCAGTGGAGGGAAGGAGGCAGTGGAAGCAGTGGAGGGAAGGAGGCAGTGGGAGCGGAGGGATGGAGGGAAGGAGCAGTGGAAGCAGTGGAGGGAAGGAGGCAGTGGGAGCGGAGGGATGGAGGGAAGGAGGCAGCGGAAGCAGTGGAGGGAAGGAGGCAGTGGGAGCGGAGGGATGGAGGGAAGGAGCAGTGGAAGCAGTGGAGGGAAGGAGGCAGTGGGAGCGGAGGGATGGAGGGAAGGAGGCAGCGGAAGAGAGGACGGAAGGGGAGGGGAGGGAGGGATGGAGGGAAGGAGGCAGGGAAGAGGGAGGGAGGAGGCAGGGCAGGGAGGGAAGGAGGGCGGCAGTGGAGGGAAGGAGGCAGGGGAGCGGAGGGATGGAGGGGAAGGAGGCAGGGAGGGAGGGAAGGAGCAGGGAAGAATGGAGGGAAGGAGGCAGGGGAGCGGAGGGATGGAGGGAAGGAGGCAGTGGAAGCAGTGGAGGGAAGGAGGAGGGGAGCGGAGGGATGGAGGGAAGGAGGCAGTGGAGGGAAGGAGGCAGTGGGAGCGGAGGGATGGAGGGAAGGAGGCAGTGGAAGCAGGGAGGGAAGGAGGAGGGGAGGGAGGGATGGAGGGAAGGAGGAGTGGAAGAGGGAGGGAAGGAGGCAGTGGCAGCGGAGGGAAGGAGGGAAGGAGGCAGCGGCAGCGGAGGGATGGAGGGAAGGAGGCAGTGGCTTTGGACAGAAGGAGGCAGTGGCAGCGGAGGGATGGAGGGAAGGAGGGCGGAGGGAGGGAAGGAGGCAGGGAGGGAGGGATGGAGGGAAGGAGGCAGTGGCAGTGGAGGGAAGGAGGCAGTGGGAGCGGAGGGAAGGAGGGAAGGAGGCAGCGGCAGCGGAGGGATGGAGGGAAGGAGGCAGTGGTTTGGACAGAAGGAGGCAGCGGCAGCGGAGGGATGGAGGGAAGGAGGCAGTGGAAGCAGTGGAGGGAAGGAGGCAGTGGGAGCGGAGGGATGGAGGGAAGGAGGCAGTGGAAGAGTGGAGGGAAGGAGGCAGGGAAGAGCGGAGGGAAGGAGGCAGTGGCTTTGGACAGAAGGAGGAGTGGAGCGGAGGGATGGAGGGAAGGAGGCAGGGAAGCAGTGGAGGGAAGGAGGCAGGGAGCGGAGGGATGGAGGGAAGGAGGCAGTGGAAGCAGTGGAGGGAAGGAGGAGTGGAAGCAGCGGAGGGATGGAGGGAAGGAGGCAGTGGCTTTGGACAGAAGGAGGCAGCGGCAGCGGAGGGATGGAGGGAAGGAGGCAGTGGAAGCAGTGGAGGGAAGGAGGCAGTGGGAGCGGAGGGATGGAGGGAAGGAGGCAGTGGAAGCAGTGGAGGGAAGGAGGCAGTGGAAGCAGCGGAGGGAAGGAGGCAGTGGCTTTGGACAGAAGGAGGCAGTGGCAGCGGAGGGATGGAGGGAAGGAGGCAGTGGAAGCAGTGGAGGGAAGGAGGCAGTGGGAGCGGAGGGATGGAGGGAAGGAGGCAGTGGGAGCGGAGGGATGGAGGGAAGGAGGCAGTGGAAGCAGTGGAGGGAAGGAGGCAGTGGGAGCGGAGGGCTGCAGCCATGCACTGGCTCATGGGGCGAAGGCTGACGGGGGTCCCTTCGTCAGGGCCAGGCTGCAGGCAGGAAACAGTGGGGTGTCTGTGCTTGCTGCTGAGGCTGGGGGCTGGGACCTGCCAGGCCGGGGAGCAGCCTGCCCTGCTGGGCCACGCACGTCCCCCAGCAGGGGAGGGGCGGGGGTGCGGGGCTGAGGGGGATGGCGGAGGAGGGCAGCGGCCAGCTGGGGGGTGTGCTGGCTGCTCTGGACAGGGATGGCCAGGGTGAGAAACTGCAGAGGGGTGACCTGGGAGGCCTTGGGCTTGGATCCCCGTGGGAGAGGGGGCTCCTGAAGGCTGGATCCCTGTGGGGGGAGGGGCCCCAGGAGGCTGGGGATCCCCCCACCTCTGCTCACAGCCGCACATCAGAGGGGATTTCAATGCAGTGACTGGGCCTGTCAGCCCACCACCAGAGCCATGTGCACCCCCAACAGCCCTCACTAGTCCCCTCTGCACCCCACACATTCCAGAGCAGCAGTTATGGGCACAGATTAGTGCTCATCCTGGAGCCTCGGGCTGGGCTAGTGGGGGGCTGCGGGTCAGGGTTGAGGGAAAAGAGGGGCTGGTCCCGTTAACGCTGCGTCCCTCCCCTGCAGGCTGGTCTCCTCCATCCAAGCCGTCATGGCCTCCACAGCCGGATACATCGTTTTCAGCTCCTGCCAACACGTTATCGATGACCAGTGAGTCTGCTCCCTCCGGCGTGGCCCCCTTTCCTTGCCCCGTCCCTCCCCCCCTCTGCCTGGCCCACTCCCTGCTTGGACTGGCCCGCTCCACCCCCAGCCTGGCCTTCTTCCCCTGGGCAGCCCGGCCTCGCCCAGCAGGGGGCGCTGTGGGGAGGGGGCAGGGTGCTGGCTGTGGCGGGAGCTCCTGGCTACTCCAGCCCGGCCTCACCCAGCTGGGGGCGCTGTGGGGAGGGGGTGGGGCGCTTGCTATTGGGGGACCTCCTGGCTACCCCAACCTCAGCATCTCCCAGCAGGGGGTGCTGTGGGGAGGGGGCAGGGTGCTGGCTGTGGGGGGAGCTCCTGGCTATTCCAGCCCGGCCTCACCCAGCAGGGGGTGCTGTGGGGAGCAAGGCTGTGGTCTCCCTGTCTACGGTGCTGAAGGGCCTGGGAGCTGGGTGGGTCTGCGGCTGCTTTGTTCCACACGGTGGACAGGGCCCTTTCCGTGGTCTCCTTTATGAGACTCAGGGCTAGGACCCACTGTATGGTGGGGGAGGGCTGGAGCCAGGACGCCTGGGTTCTATTCCTAACTCTGCCACTGATCTCCTCTTCATGGGACAACGCCCCCTCCTGGTGCTGGGCAGCAGAATGCCCGGGAGGCTCCAGCCCCCTGCCGCCTGCACCAGCTCCTCCCGGTGTCGCTGGCATGTTCACCTTCCTCCCCAGAGCTGAGCCGGAATTATCCCCCGCCCGCTCCTGAGCCCTCTCCTGGGAGCACAGATGGGGCCAGCAAGCTAATCCCCTCGGCCGCGGATCAGCCTGCCCCGGCAAGGACAGCCCCGCAGATCTGGGAGGGGAGTGGGGTCTGGTGGTTAGAGCGAGGGAGGCTGGGAGCCCGGACTCCTGGGTTCAACTGGCTCTGGAGGGGAGTGGGGTGCAGTGTTTAGAGCAGGATTGGGCTGGAAGCCTGGACTCCTGGGTTCTATCCCGGCTTTATGAATGGGGTGCCCCCGCAGGCTGTGTTCCTACATGGACCCCCCCCACTCCAGCTGACTGAGAGATGAGGGCTGGTTTCCATGGCACCTGCACCCGCCCCGATCCCCACACTGCACCTGGAGCCTGCAGAGTCCTGAGCCTCTGACACAGCCACTCATGGGCCTGGGGTGGGGGTGTGAGGAAAGCATCATGGGAAATCTTACACCCCCCCTTTCCCCTCTGCATCACTGGGCTGGTGCCTCTCACTCCTGACCCGCAGCCCCCTGCTAGCCCAGCCCTGCCCCCACGCAGCTCTGCCGGTGCCCCTCACTCCCGACCCGCAGCCCCCTGCCAGCCCCGCCCTCGGCCTCTCCACAGTTCCGCCGGTGCCCCTCACTCCCAATGTGCAGCCCCTGAATCCTTTGTCCCACTGCAGCATCCTGGGCTGCGGCTCTGGCATGGGGCCTAATCGGCTCACACTGGGCAGAGGCCTCTGTCAGCACAATTTGGCAGCGGGACTGCAGCATGGGGCGGCGTGGGGGGGGTGCAGGTGGAGGGGCCGGGGGCCAAGCTTGGAAGGAGGGACAGGGCCTATGGCTGGGCTAGCAGGGGCTGCGGGTCGGGAGTGAGGGGCACCGGCAGAGCTGGGGGGAGGGTGGGCTGGGCTGGGTGGAGGGGGCTGCGGGTCGGGAGTGAGGGGACGGAGAGTGGGGGGAGGGTGGGCTGGGCTGGTAGGGGGCTGCGGGTCGGGAGTGAGGGGCACCGGAGAGTTGGGGGGAGGGCTGGGGTAGAGGGGGGCGGGTCGGGAGTGAGGGGAGGAGAGCTGGGGGGCAGGGCTGGGTGGAGGGGGCTGGGGTCGGGAGTGAGGGGACGGAGAGCTGGGGGAGGGCTGGGTGGGTGGTAGGGGGTGCGGGTCGGGAGTGAGGGGACCGGAGAGTTGGGGGGAGGGGGGGTGAGGGGGGGGGTGGGAGTGAGGGGCACCGGCAGAGCTGGGGGGCAGGGCTGGGCTGGGCTGGCAGGGGGCTGCGGGTCGGGAGTGAGGGGCACCGGCAGAGTTGGGGGGCAGGGCTGGGGTAGCAGGGGGCTGCGGGTCGGGAGTGAGGGGCACCGGCAGAGCTGGGGGGCAGGGCTGGGCTGGCAGGGGGCAGCGGGTCGGGAGTGAGGGGCACCGGCAGAGCTGGGGGGCAGGGCTGGGCTATCAGGGGCTGCGGGTCGGGAGTGAGGGGCACCGGCAGAGCTGGGGGGTATCCTCGCTGTGGGTCATGGTTGTGGCTGCCCCATGGGCTGTGGGGGGTGGAGGCGCCTGGCTCAGCTCCGGGTGGAGGAGGCTGCGTTCCCTATGACCTTGCAGCAGCTGTTGCCCGTCAATACTCCATCGATCCTCCCAGTCCCTACCCACCAGGCCACGCTGCCGCCACGCTCGCCAGCCTGCGCCCCATGGCCCCTCTCCCCCATCCTGGTGAGCAGGCCAGGGCAGGTTACCCCTGCCAGCCCCACCCTCTGCCTGAGGTGCTGCTGGATCCCCCAGCCCAGCCCCACACACAGTCCCCCCAGGCCCTGGCACTGCAGAGCCCCACCCCTCTCCCCTAGCACCCCCAGCAGGGCCCCACTGCCCCCGACAGCTTCCCCTGCCCCTGTGGCAGCTCTAACCGCTCTGTCTTCCCCCAGGCATTGGCTGACGAGCGCCTACACGGAGTTTGCGGTGCCCTACTTCATCTACGACATCTACGCCATGTTCCTGTGCCATTGGCACAAGTACCGGGTGAAGGGGCACGAGGCTGCGGGGCCCCGCTCGCTGCGCACCGTCACCCGCGCCTTCCTGCACAAGGAGTTCCTCATGGTGCTGCACCACCTCTGCATGGTGCTGGTGTGCTTCCCCGTCTCCGTGGTGAGCGGGCCCTGATAGCCGCGGGGGGCCCCTGATCCCGCGGGGGGCTGCACCCCCTCTGCATGGTGCTGGTGTGCTTCCCCCTCTCCGTGGCGAGCAGGCCCAGATAGCCGCGGGGGGCCCCTGATAGCCGCGGGGGGGCTGCACCCCCTCTGCATGGTGCTGGTGTGCTTCCCCCTCTCCGTGGTGAGCGGGCCCTGATAGCCGCGGGGGGCCCCTGATCCCGCGGGGGGGCTGCACCCCCTCTGCATGGTGCTGGTGGGCTTCCCCCTCTCCGTGGTGAGGGGCCCTGATAGCCGCGGGGGGCCCCTGATCCCGCGGGGGGGCTGCACCCCCTCTGCATGGTGCTGGTCTGCTTCCCCCTCTCCGTGGCGAGCGGGCCCTGATAGCCGCGGGGGGCCCCTGATAGCCACGGGAGGGCTGCACCCCCTCTGCATGGTGCTGGTGTGCTTCCCCCTCTCCGTGGTGAGCAGGCCCTGATAGCCGCGGGGGGCCCCTGATAGCCGCAGGGGGGCTGCACCCCCTCTGCATGGTGCTGGTGGGCTTCCCCCTCTCCGTGGCGAGCAGGCCCAGATAGCCGCAGGGGGCCCCTGATAGCCGTGGGGGGCTGCACCCCCTCTGCATGGTGCTGGTGTGCTTCCCCCTCTCCGTGGCGAGCGGGCCCTGATAGCCGCGGGGGGCCCCTGATAGCCGCGGGGGGGCTGCACCCCTCTGCATGGTGCTGGTGGGCTTCCCCCTCTCCGTGGTGAGGGGCCCTGATAGCCGCGGGGGCCCCTGATAGCCGCAGGGGGCTGCACCCCCTCTGCATGGTGCTGGTGGGCTTCCCCCTCTCCGTGGTGAGCGGGCCCTGATAGCCGCGGGGGGCCCCTGATAGCCGCAGGGGGGCTGCACCCCCTCTGCATGGTGCTGGTGGGCTTCCCCCTCTCCGTGGTGAGCGGGCCCTGATAGCCGCGGGGGGCCCCTGATAGCCGCGGGGGGGCTGCACCCCCTCTGCATGGTGCTGGTGGGCTTCCCCCTCTCCGTGGTGAGTGGGGCCCGAGATCCCCAGGAGGCCGTAAGAAGGCAAGGGGTGGGATTGAGCCACAGGAGGGAAGTGGGGGTCCTGAGCCCATGGGGGGACAGGAGGGGGCTAGTTCCCACCAGCTGCCCCTCACCCCCCCTCTCTCCCCAGCTGTGGCGCCAGGGGAAGGGCGATTTCTTCCTGGGCTGCATGCTGATGGCCGAGCTGAGCACCCCCTTCGTCTCCCTGGGCAAGGTGCTCATCCTGGTGAGTACCCGCCGGGGGGAGGGGAGGGGAGGCCGGACGCCTGGGTTCTCTGCCCAGCTCGTGGTGGGAGTGGGGTGCCCGGACGCCTGGGTTCCGTTCCCAGCCTGGGGGGCGGAGGTGCCCGGATGCCTGGGTTCCGTTCCCAGCCTGGGGGGCGGAGGTGCCCGGATGCCTGGGTTCTGTTCCCGGGCTGGGGGGCGGAGGTGCCCGGACGCCTGGGTTCCGTTCCCGGGCGGGGGCGGGGGTGCCCGGACGCCTGGGTTCCTGACCCCTCTCTCTCCCCCAGTACAAGCGGCAGCACACCCTGCTGCACAAGGTGAACGGGCTGCTCATGCTGGTGACCTTCTTCTGCTGCCGCATCCTGCTCTTCCCCTACATGTACCGGGCCTACGGGCGCCACGCCGGGCTGCCCCTGCACCGCGTGCCCCTCGCCCTGCCGCCCGCCTACAACCTGGGCGCCGCCCTGCTCCTGGCCCCCCAGCTCTACTGGTTCGGCCTCATCTGCCGCGGGGCCGTCCGCCTCTTCCGCCACGCCCCGCCCACGGACCCCGCCCTGCGCAACGGGCATGGCCCCGGGGGGCGGGCGCTGGACTGAGACCCCCGCCCTGCGCCACGGCCCCGGGGGGGCGGGCGCTGGACTGAGACCCCCCCGGTGCCACAGGCTCCGCCCCCGGGGCGGGCGCTGGACTGAGACCCCCCCAGTGCCACGGGCACCGTCCCCGGGGGCGGGTGCTGGACTGAGACCCCTCCAGTGCCACGGGCACCGCCCCCGAGGGTGGGCAATGGACTCAGACCCTCCCGGTGCCATGGGCACCGTCCCTGGGGGCGGGTGCTGGACTGAGACCCCCCCAGTGCCACGGGCACCGCCCCCGAGGGCGGGCAATGGACTCAGACCCTCCCGGTGCCATGGGCACCGTCCCCGGGGGCGGGTGCTGGACTGAGACCCCCCCAGTGCCACTGGCAAGGCCCCCGAGGGCGGGCGCTGGACTGAGACCCCCCCAGTGCCACGGGCACCGCCCCCGAGGGCGGGCGCTGGACTCAGACCCCCCCGGTGCCACGGACTCCGCCCCCGGGGGCGGGTGCTGGACTGAGACCCTCCCCTGTGCCACGGGCACTGCCCCGGGGGCGGGTGCTGGACTGAGACCCCCCCAGTGCCACAGGCAAGGCCCCCGGGGCGGGCGCTGGACTGAGACCTCCCCTGTGCCATGGGCACCGCCCCCAGGGGCGGGCGCTGCATTGAGACCTCCCAGCCTACCTGCTCTGTGCTAAGGGCATGGCCTCGGGGGGGGGGCCTCGCTGTCCTGAGCCCCCCTGCCCGTGCGCAGCCCCAAGGCCCTGGCATGAGACTGTCCCCGCGTGGTGGGCACGGGGTGAACTGACGCCCGCGGCCGGCGCCCGCGGCCGGCGCCCACAGCCTCAGCTTCTAACGACTTTATTTATTTATTTATTGGGGGCCCGCCCTGGAATTCTCCGGGGGCTGCTGCAGGACGGAGTGGGGCCCCCCTTGGCCTGACAGGGGCTGACTGCAGCCCCCATTCTCAGGGGGCTGCCCAGTAGCACCTGGGGCACTCCCTCTGGGTGGTGCAGCTCAGGCACCCCCAGTAATGGGGGGATGAGGTGCAAATCGGGGGGCTGGCTGTGTTGGGAGGTGAGAGTTTGGCCTGGAGATTTGGGGGACCCCTGGGAATCTCAGGGGGCCACCCAGGGGATTGAATTCCTGCCCCACCAGAGTGTGGGGGGACCCAGCTAGACTCCACCAGCAGACAGTTTGGGTGGACTTGGGAACCCCCCGCACTGCCCCCCACTGTAGCAATAACCAGGCAGCGGGTGGGGAACTGACCCCCCCAACAAGGACTGTGAGCTCTGCACCCCCCAGCTGCTCGCTGGGTCCGGATGTATACGGGGGGGATTTCTAACCCTGGGGAGGCTGCAAAGTATTAAAGGAGCCTTGATCCAATGCCAGCACCGCTGCCTCCGGGTGATTATTACCCCCCACCCCCCAGACTGCCCCCCAGCCAGTGCCTCAGGGTGACTATGAACCCCCCAGCCAGCACCTGCAGGGGACTGTTACTGTCCCCCCCAGGGTGCCAGGCATTGGGGATGCCTAGACATTGCAGCTCTTTACTGGGGGGGCAAAGCTGAACCCTGACGTCCTGCAGCTCCTCAGCTCTGCATCCTGCAGACCCTAAGAGAGAACAAGGGGGGGTCACTGCCAGGCTCCCGGCAGCATGGGGGCAGGGGGGGCTGGAGGGGACCAGGCCAGGGAATAGGACCCAGGCATCCGGGGAGACACCTACATTGTGCTGCAGATCTGGTAGAGGAGGAAGAGCAGGGTCAGCAGGACGGAACCAAGCAGGATGTGGTGCAGGACTCGGGGGAGGGGATCTGGTGGGGGGCAAAAAGGCCAACGTGGGGACAAAGTGGGAGTGAACCCCCCCAAGCCTCCGCCCTGGGGCCAAAGCTTATGGACATCGAGTGTGAGCCCCCCGTCCCCTCCTGAACTACTGCTGGGGCAGAGCTGGGGGGGCAGGGCTGGGCTAGCAGGGCCTGTGGGTTGGGAATGAGGGGCACCGGCAGGGCTGGGGGGGCAGGGCTGGGCTGGCAGGGGCTGCGGGTCGGGAGTGAGGGGCACCGGCAGGGCTGGGCTGGCAGGGGCTGTGGGTTGGGAGTGAGGGGCACCGGCAGAGCTGGGGGGGGCACGGCTGGGCTAGCAGGGGGCTGCGGGTCGGGAGTGAGGGGCACCGGCAGGGCTGGGCTAGCAGGGGGCTGCGGGTCGGGAGTGAGGGGCACCGGCAGAGCTGGGGGGGCACGGCTGGGCTGGCAGGGGGCTGGGGTGGGAGTGAGGGGCACCGGAGGGCTGGGTAGCAGGGGGTGCGGGTCGGGAGTGAGGGGCACCAGCAGGGCTGGGGGGGACGGCTGGGCTAGAGGGGCTGCGGGTCGGGAGTGAGGGGCACCGGCAGGGCTGGGCTAGCAGGGGCTGCGGGTCGGGAGTGAGGGGCACCGGCAGGGCTGGGGGGAGGGCTGGCAGCAGGGGGCGGGGTGGGAGGAGGGGCACCGGCAGGGCTGGGCTAGCAGGGGGCTGCGGGTCGGGAGTGAGGGGCACCGGCAGAGCTGGGGGGGGCACGGCTGGGCTAGCAGGGGGCTGCGGGTCGGGAGTGAGGGGCACCGGCAGGGCTGGGCTAGCAGGGGGGCTGCGGGTCGGGAGTGAGGGGCACCGGCAGGGCTGGGGGGGGCACGGCTGGGCTAGCAGGGGCTGCGGGTCGGGAGCCGGGCGGGGTAGCCTGGAGCTGGGGGCAGGACTGAGGGGCACTGCCTGTCTGGGGATCCCTGCCCCCCGTCCCCTCACTGGCTGCGAAGAACACGGGCTTCTCCCCGATGTAGCGGTAGGTCGCCAGGATCTTGGCTCGGTCGTCGTCGGGATAATCGAACCAGAGCGGCCCCGGCGCCTGCCACGTCCCTCCCCTCGGCGTCACTGCAGTGCCAAGAAACCAGAGCAGGGAGCCGGCCACGGGGGAGACGCTCTGGTACGTCAAGGCCACGACTCTACTGCTCCCCAACAGCACAGCTGAGCTTCCACGTGCTGCTTGCTACGGGGCCACGCTACAGGATGTCGGGACCCAGCAGGCCGTGCTGGCGAGGGGGGGTTCGGGCCGGGGGAGCCGTTCGGGGGGGGCGCCCAGCAGGCCGTGCTGGCGAGGGGGGTTCGGGCCGGGGAGCCGTTCGGGGGGGAGGGCGCCCAGCAGGCCGTGCTGGCGAGGGGGGGTTCGGGCCGGGGGAGCCGTTCGGGGGGGGAGGGCGCCCAGCAGGCCGTGCTGGCGAGGGGGGGTTCGGGCCGGGGGAGCCGTTCGGGGGGGGAGGGCGCCCAGCAGGCCGTGCTGGCGACGGGGGGTTCGGGCCGGGGGAGCCGTTCGAGGGGGGCACCCAGCAGGCCGTGCTGGCGAGGGGGGGTTCGGCCCGGGGGAGCCGTTCGGGGGAGGCTCGGCCCGCAGTGCTCGGGGCCTGGCCCTCACCTGTGTCCTGGTGGGTGCTGTTAGGGGAGAGAGGTCTGGCGCTGAGGGTTGTCACCAGCACCCACAGCAGGAGCCATCCTGGAGCCCAGTGCCCCATAACTGCCTCCAGTTGGGGCGGAGCTCTACCTGGCCACACCCCCTTGGAGTGTGACATCACAGTGCCCAGGTATGTGCACAGAGCCCCACCCCCAATGAGCCACGACCCGCCACGTTGGCTGCCACTTTTATTGCAGACAATAAGGCACAGGCCGGGCCCGGACAATGGGGTCCCGTTTCCATGGGGGCCCTCACTCGTGGTGCCCCGGGGGGGGCCTGGGCAGGACACCCAGGAGCCCCCCTGCCGTGGAGAAGAGGTTGATGGGGGAGGAGCCGTCGGTGATGAGGGCCGACTGGAGGCCCAGGCCCTGCAGCAGCTTCACCTGGGGGGAGCAGAGGGGGTGGGTGAGTGGGTGGGACCCGGTCCCCAGCCCCTCCCCCACCCGTGTAAGCTCCACCCCTCCTGGGCCCCACCCGCAGAACCCACCAGCCCCTACTCCACCCACTCCATCCCCCCAGCCAGCTCCGCCCCCCAGCCTTAGCCCCCCCATGCCAGCACCAGTTTCCTCAAGTCCTGCCCCTAAGCCCCTCCCCCACATGCTCACCCAAGCCCCGCCCCACCCCACCCTCCTCTAAGCCCCGCCCCCTGACCCACCTGCAGCTCCGGCCCCGCCAGCGCGATGTCGCGCAGGGTCTCGGGCCCGATGGCTTCCGTCACCTGCTGGAACTTCTTCACCTCCACCTCGGCCAGCAGCCGGGCCCGCGCCGCCTCCTGCTCGCCCTGCGCCCGGGCGAAGCGCAACTCCTGCTCCCGCGCCTGGCCCAGCCGGGCCAGCTCCGACTCCTGCGCCCGCCGGGGGGACGGGGGACAGGCTCAGTGGGGGCGGGGCCCCGTGGGCCACGCCCCCTCCCCGGGCTCCCCCGCCCACCCCCATGGGCCACGCCCCCTCCCCGGGCTCCCCCGCCCACCCCCACGGGCCACGCCCCCTCCCCGGGCTCCCCCGCCCACCCCCGTGGGCCACGCCCTCTCCCCGGGCTCCCCCGCCCACTCACCGTCTCAATGGCGGCTGCCTCCGCCTTCAGCTTGGCCTGTTCCACAGCCGCCTCGCCCGCGATCCGCGCCGCATCCGCCTTGGACTGGGCCTCGGCCCGCGCCGCACCGGTGCTCTCCACTGCCGCGCTGGGGGGGGCCAGACAGGGTCACAGACCCCCACATATGCCCCCCCGGTCTCCCAGAGCCCCCCCCCAGCCACTGATCCCCTGATTCTGCCCCCGGACTCCCCCGCCCGCCCAATCCCACCGCCGGCCATGGACCTCCCCCTGATCCTGCCCCCTGCCACTGACTGCCCCGCGACACCCAGCCCCCAGACCCCACCAGATCCCTCCCCTGGCAGCTGGCCACCCATCACCCCCCCGGTCCCCCAACCTCAGTGCCTCCAGCTCCAGCAGCTCCTTCCGGGCCCGCTCAGCCTCCGCCTGGTCCAGGATTTTCTGCCGCTCCAGCCGTCCCCGAGCCTCCTGTTCCAGCCGCTCGGCCTCGTGCCTGGGGGAGACAGGCTGGGATGAGGGGGGCTGTGGGGCAGGGCTGGGGCGGGAGCAGGCCCCTGGGGAGCCCGTACCTGGCAGCTGCCTCCTGGGAGTTGGTGGTGATCTCGATGGCCAGCTGGACGCTCCTCTGCAGCGCGTCCCGCGTGCGCTGGTCCACCGGCTCCACGCTCTGGATGTCCACGCTGCTCACCACCAGCCCGTTCTGGGGGAAGCGCAGGCAGCTCCGCAGCTGCAGCTCCGTGTCGAAGCCAAACACAGCCGAGCAGATGATCCGGTTCGAGTTCTGGGGGGAGCAGGGGATTGTGGGGCGCTGGGGGGAGTGGCTGCAGCACCCCAGAACCCCCATATTCACCCTCGCAGGTACAACCGGGCAGCCAGACGTGCAGGTGGCCCAGAAGGACGATTCCAGGAAACGCAGACACTGGGTCCTGTTTGACCCGAGGAGAAGTGGCGGATGGGGGCTCAGTGGTACCCCAGTTCCAGGTTGCACCCCAGGTAGGGTGTGAGCCCCAGGGCTGTGCCAGGAGGAGGCAGGCCAAGGGGCTTGGGAAGGCGTGGTGGGGGAGTGCCGGGGGCAGGGGAAGGGGTGCAGAGGGGCCCCCCCGTACCTTGTGGAAGTCGTCGAACGTGACGGAGGCCACGGCCCCACGGATGCGGGAGGCCAGTGCTTTGCAGGCATCACCCACGAAATCCGGGACGCTGAAGAGCCGGGAGAGCGCCGGGGGGTCAGGGGGCGACGGCACCTCAAAGTGCCTGGGGGGACAAGGCAGTTGGGGGGCTGGGGAACAGGCTTCCCCGGTCCCCCTCCCTGCAACCTCCACCCCTCCCAGCCCCACCCCCGGGCAGAGGGGGCTGTAGGACCGGCGCTGGGCCCAGGGGCAGAGCCCCAAGAGTAGCCTGGAGACCCTGAGATCGGGGCAATGCCTGGGCTCTGCAGGGCGTGAGCAGCAGGTTGGGGTGGGGGGTGCCCGACAGGGCCTGTGACACCCCCCTGCTGCCTCCTGCCCTTCCCCAATCATGGCCCCATCAGCCCCTCTCCCCAGCCCCTCACCAGTTGTAGGCCAGCTGGAGCTGCAGCCGGGCATGGTCGGCCGTCTCGATGGTGACGATGTCGGCACAGAAGTCAGGGCCCAGCAGCAGGCAGAGTGAGCGCCGGGTGTGGGGGGCCTTGGGCCGCCCCCCTGACAAGCTCAGCACCGTGAACTGCTCGTCTGGGCCCAGCAGAACCAGCTCCGGGCCCAGCACCACCCTGCGGGGAGGGGAACATGAGCCCTACATGCCACGGGAGGGAGCCCCAGCGACCCCCAGCCCCGCTTCCCCTGGGACCCCCTTCCCTCCATGAGCTGCACCCAAGTCCCCCTCCCGCGCACACAGCCACAAGCCCCTGCTCACCTGGCCTGCCGCTCCCGGTAGTCATACACCTGCACGGCTGCGTTGTGGGGCACCTGGTAACTCACCACCCGTGTCTTGTCGCGGGGGGGCCCCTCGCCTCCCGGGGGGGGGGGCCCGGAACGGTCAGCCACGGGGTCCCGGCCCGAGGACAGCAGGGCCTCCACGTTGGGGGGCAGCTCCTTCTCCCAGAGCTCCTCGGCCTCCGTCAGCATGTAGGTGTGGCCGATCACCGCCCGCACCTGGCGAGGGGGGGGAGTCCATGGGGGAGCTCAGGAGCCCATGGGGGGGCAGGGACAGGGGCATCGGGGGGTCAGTGGGGCAGGCGGGAGGGCAGGGATGTGGGGCATCGGGGGTCAGTGGGGCAGGCGGGAGGGCAGGGACAGGGGTGGCGGGGGGGCAGTGGGGCAGGCGGGAGGGCAGGGATATGGGGCATCGGGGGTCAGTGGGGCACTGGGGGCAGGGACAGCGGCATCAGGGGTCAGTGGGGCACTGGGGGCAGGGACAGCGGCATCGGGGGTCAGTGGGGCAGGTGGGAGGGACAGGGGCCCCACTCACCTTGCCTGTCTTGATGTCGCGCACGTAGATGCCCTCGTTCTCGCCCAGGGGGGTGACTTGGCGCCGCTCCAGCACCTCCACTTCCACCGGCGGCACGTACTCCAGGGGCCCCCGGATGAGCCAGCACTCGCCCGGCTTCCGCTGCAGCTCACGGCCGCCCTGAGGGGGTCAGGGATCCCAGTGCCCCTCACTGCCCCCCCGGTGCCCCTCACTCCCCACCCGCAGCCCCCCGCGCCCCCGGTGCCCCCCACTGTCCCCCCGGTGCCCCTCACTCCCCACCCGGTGCCCCTCATTGCCCCCCGGTGCCCCTCACTCCCCACCCGCAGCCCCCCGCGCCCCCGGTGCCCCTCATTGCCCCCCCGGTGCCCCTCACTCCCCACCCGCAGCCCCCCGCGCCCCCGGTGCCCCCCACTGTCCCCCCGGTGCCCCTCACTGCCCTTCCGGTGCCCCTCACTGCCCCCCCGGTGCCCCCTGTTAACCCAACCCTGGACTCCCCCACCTCATCCAAGTCCTCCAGCTTGCTGAGTGCCCGCAGCAGCAGCCCTTCCTCCTCCGAGAGGATGTAGATGTCTTGGATCCCCTCCTTCAGAGACTCCCCTGGCTGCAGGAAGAACGACTTCTCCCCCTGGACCAACGAAGGGGGAGGTCTGTGAGAATTTCCACGGCTACCCAAGAAATGTGGGGAAGGAGCGCAGGCATATAGTCTAGGTAATATGGTAATATCATTTACTGTGCATATAAACTAGAAAATATGGCAAGATCATGCCTTAATGAATATTTTATTCCTTTTCCCACTTATTGCCAAAGAAACAAGGCAACACCTGCCCAGATAGTCTGAAAAATACGGTTAGACCCACCCGACTCCAAGGTGAGGAGCTGCTTTTTCTATTATTCTACGTGTAGCCTAGAAAATACAGTAACCCCTTGCCTATAATCTAGGAAATACGGTAACCCCCCTTCCACAATGGCCTGGTCAACCATCACCTTTAAAGTGGAAATACAGTAACTATCTGCTCCTATACCCTGAGTAATATGGTACCCCAGCACCGCCCCCAGCTGTAGCTGCTCCTATGACCTGGCAACAGACACTTCCCCCACCCATCTATAACTGCAGCTATAATCTGGTATATACGGTAGAAAATAAAGACACAAAGACAGTAACAAAAGGCCACCTTCAGCTCCCAGCTCAAACCCTCCAGCGCATCATCGAGAATCTACAACCGATCCTGAGGGGCGACCCATCGCTCGCACAGATCCTGGGAGACAGGCCAGTCCTTGCCTACAGACAGCCCCCCAACCTGAAGCAAATACTCACCAGCAACCACACACCACACAACAGAACCACTGACCCAGGAACCTATCCTTGCAACAAAGCCCGTTGCCAACTGTGCCCACATATCTATTCAGGGGACACCATCACAGGGCCTAATCACATCAGCCACACTATCAGAGGCTCGTTCACCTGCACATCCACCAATGTGATCTATGCCATCATGTGCCCGCAATGCCCCTCTGCCATGTACATTGGTCAAACCGGACAGTCTCTATGCAAAAGAATAAATGGAC